TAAGCTTCTTAAAGAAGTTTCTAAATGACGCTTCCATAGGATGCTTCTTAAGATATTATTATAGAATCTTCTTTGGAAGCTAATTCTAGACGCTTGCCCGTCGCTTCGCACCTCTACCTAAAATAAACGGGCAGGACAGTAAATCTAAGCAGATCGGATCAAAAAATCAAAAAGAGTAGGTTTACGGATTAAAATTTAAAAAATAATGTCCTAAACATAAATAATATACGTTTAATTCATGGATCATGCCTATATTTTTAAGTGCCCAAACTTGATTTTTTATGGATCACTTTCTTTAGATTAAGGTTAATTGCTGAATGTTTTATGGATCAATTGCAATATGTTTATGGGTAATTCGTAGAATTCCAATGCTCATTATTTAGAAATTTAGCGGTACATTTTTACAATTGTGTTGCTAAATTTTACATAAAATATTGATAATATTGATATTTTTTATGGATCATCCACACTATTTTAGGGATTTTCTCCGATGTTTTATGGATCATTTGAATGCTTTTAATGGAACGTTTTTCAATATTTAATGGATCGTTTTATCAATTCTAAAGGTGCATACTTAAGGCTGCCCTGTGAAACCGCGCATGAGCGTATATTGAAAATACACATACACTGACAAAGTGAAATTCGTTTTTTTAATCTAAATTTTTATTTTTAAATCAATTGAAAGAGTTTTTGAAAACAAAAAAATAAAAATTAATGTGTACTACATATTTTTTGTTTAAATATGCATCATACACGCAGAAAAATGGATTTTTGTTTCAGGGCCTAATGTATTTTGTTTTTGTTTCAAACATATTGTATCACTATTTCAACAAAAAAAAAATTTGAATCAACAAAATGGTTTTTAGAATCAACAAACAGAGTATTGACTCTTCAATCTGTTTATTGATTCAAAAATATTTTTCTTTGAATTAACCGAATAATATATTAGAATCAATACCAAAAATATATTAGGCCCTGAGCCAAAAATATATCCATTTGAATTTAAAAATCATTACTCTGCGTGTAAACAACAAAAACCATCGTTGGGGCTACAACCGAAAATTATTCATATTAATAACCATAAGTTTGACACTACAATATATCCCAAATATATTTATTTTTGATTCAAAAAGATCGATTTTTTTTCTACGTGTACCCTCCCCTTGGCTAGTTTTTGCACCTTGCTGTTGGTGAGCGGGCTTAATTTCATGCTATTTAGTAAAGTGTTGGAGACGGTAGGTTTTGGCCGGCGTTGCCGGCTCATGCCGCTGTAGAATGGCGCCATGGGCACGCAATGGGGATTACTAAGCTTCCCCTCCACCACTGCATGAGAGAACCAAAGATCTAGTCTAGCAGTGATAGTATCACACTTGTTACTCCTTTGATTGAGAGCCGCGTCGTAGTACGCTTACGTATAGGCACTGACGTTTGGTGTGATACTGGCGGGTTTTGCCGCAAATCACTCTTATTTTTTTTACGCAGATAGATTTATTTGGGTTTACACGGGAATTATATAAATGGAATATTTCAGAAAACGCCCAACAGTGCTCCTTCTATTTGTGTGACAAGCTTTCATTGTTGTTTTCATTGAAGTAGGTATTACTCAGGGAACAATGTTAAACACCATTTTTGTACATGGTATTGTAACTAATCTTATTCGTGCTTCATTTTGATTTGGGATTTCCATTTGTAACGCTGTGCGTTTGTTTTCAATTGAGTTGGCGGTAAAGATTGTGGAAAAGAATGGAATTTGTAAATATTAGGGATGAGTTGTATAAGTTGTAAATATTAGGTAACGTGTGTTGTCATATAGGTTGTAATCTTGTGCGAAGAAGCTGGTTTGTGTCTAAGCTATGTTTTACATTTAGCTTTGTATATACATTTGTAAGGTTTTATAGCAAGCTAGCGTTTTTTATGGAACAATAAATAAGATGGCTAAAGAGGAGAATTGCTAAATACGCGAAAGAGATAGGATTCAAATGAACACATAAATAAGATGGCTAATCGACATATGTTTTCGCGCCATATCCGATTCTTTTATCTTGAAGAAAACCTGTGGTTTCTTGGGGAACAAAACTTCTAATCTCTTCCATTTCGCTAACGAATCGGCTGGAAAGCAGATGTGTGTGACGCGGTTTTTAAGTTCGTTAAGTGGACTCTGTGAAAGTAATCTACGTACTCTAAGGTGATTAGTTTAAAAGGAGTTAATTGAGCCAGCTCAGTGATCTAACGTGTGGTTTTTTTTGTACGTTTAGGTTAATTGTACTGTTCAAAGTAGTTGCGTCGCAGACATCTGCGTTTTTAGTGTTTTATCGTACAAAAAGGTAATTTGTAAAACTTTTAAACATTAGCATTTTTGTAATTTCGTGTTTTTCGCGTTGGACAGCTCGTTCAACGGGCTTTTTTTTGTACGGGCTGGATTTTTGATGAGTTCGGCAGTCATCATCGCCGGAACTTTGGCTTCGTGGCGTCATCAAAGCCACATTTTTTGTCCGGGAAGGACGGATCAGACCCGTGTGCACAGCGAAGGCCCGCCTCTCGTAGGTAGTCAAACGGAGGAGAGTGTAGACGCTAAATTTCTGCTTAGCGAATTGTTTCCCGACGGTCGCCAAAAGCCGTCGGTAAGGTCCCGTTACAACCCCGGGGACCGTGACATTCGAGGGCTCGGACCGTAGGAGTACGAAGCCAATCGCGTACCTCGGTTCGGATTTCAACCAAAGAGGAGAGGATTTCATTCCATCTCGGGCGGTCAAAGCGGAAACACAGTACGCGAAGCCGTGCGACGGTACGTTGGTCTCTCTCTTCCGCGGAGCGAATCTCCCGGGAAAAGCTCGACTGCGTCGATGCTCAGCTCTCAAGAAAGAAAATCGGAAGCCTTCCGTCCAGCCGCCACTACCTCCGCACCTCTAATTTCGGCCATACCGCACACGGGTCACTTTTCGTCGCTGCACGCCATTTCCGCAGCTAGCTCGGCGCCATTCCGAGACCGCCGCCATCATCACAGGTCATCGGAAGGTCGACAGTCGCCATCGCTAGGACCTTGGTAAGGTCTCCGGCCGCCATTATCGCTCCATCCGTCGCCATCACCGATCCATCCGTCGCCATCACCGCTTCATCCGTCGCCGTTGCATCGCATCGCATCGCATCGCATCTCACGGAACCTAAATCCTGCGCAGGTATGTCCGTATTCTTGTTTTTAAGGCCATGAATTTAGTTTTTCCGTTGTTATTGGGTTTGTCCAACACAACACGAATGTAATTATCAAATACGTGAATATAGTTTGAATTGGTTGTTTTTGTTGTAAAGTCTATAGTTTTCCTTCATACCGTTGCGTCTCTTAGCTGGTTTCATACGACACTGTGTATTCCATTCGTAAGATCTCTCTCGATTCACACATATTTGTTTTTAACCCGATTCGTTTGGATGGAGCTTAGCATTTTGGATCCTTTCGGGGTTGCAGGTTTTTCGTGATAAAAGGAAGTGCGGATAAAAGTGTTCATTTGATCTCAGGCGTTAGCGAAAATTCGGGGCTGATTCGTTGAGGGACTTCGAGAATCGTACCGTACGGGAGTCCTCTGAGATTTAGTCTCAAAGTGTCGGGCAAGTTTAACACGACCGGTGGTCTCTCTTCGTGAGAGTGGCGCTTAAGCCACCGTGTTTACAATTATCTCAGGAAGTTTTCCCGCACGGTTACACATTGTGGCGTGCTTGTGACATATCCATACGTAATTTTGTGGGACGACATAGTGGAAACGTGTGAGCGTAGTTGGAGCATATATCCTATATAATTTAAAAATCAGTTAGGAATCTATCTTCAAAGTGAAGCATTTTAGTCACTTGAAGGTGTCACCTGGGACGAACAAATATATAATAAATATAGGTCAAAGGCAAAAACAATTTGATACACGTTAAATTTTAGATTACATACACAAGTCCAGGTACTTAATAAAGCATGGGCTATAATTGATTAGGTAGATTAGAGATTTCAATTATTTATTAAATTAGGCTAATGAGATATCATAATCATCAAACGAACTTAAATAAGAAAATTTAGACAGCCTAATAACATTAAGTAGATTAACAAAAGAGTTAGGATGCGGGGGTCCGCTTAGGGAGGCAACTAGCCTTTTCATATATTGTCTGTTTATTTTGATGGTTGCTTTAAAATATCAATTTGGTATGTATGTGAAAGGATGAATGGGTGGGAGATGGATTTTCGGTTTCTTTACATTTTGCAGCACAAATCTAGTACTATGTGTCATTTCCTCAAAACCCCCAAAAACCGACCTCCTCAATCCCTTCCCATGGCGTTAAAGTGGTCCGCATAGACTATTCAGCCATTACCCTTCCTTCATCCTCGGCTTTGGATTGACTTGCGCTCCCATTGCCCCACCAAACGCTGCAAAATGAAAAATGAAAAATAAGATCGATTTTTTTTTCTACGTGTAGCATTAGGTATGCCAGCACCCCAAATTCCGTATCTTCAAATGCCTTTACACTGAGTAAAAGTACCAAAAGTGTTAGTAGTATTATAGTCTCACGGCTGTACCAAAATAAGGGCATAATTTTATTTATTTTATCCTTTTTTCTGAGCATGAGCTGTTATTCCATATTTTATGAAGATCGTACAGATTGTAATAAACCGTCAGCAGGTCCATAACGGCAATAAAATGTATGTTCACCATAATAAATACTGAACGGCACCCAAGCCAAATGGGGTAGGTCCATAAGAAGGGCTATATCCGGGTTCATTCTGTATTATTTTATTAAACGGACTTACATCTATTGTTTACTCACTGAACCTCTTAGAAAGTACTATTCGATATATTTTGTATTTCAAGGTTACTGCTTTCCATCGTTATATACAATTGTTCAATGTGAGAGATTGTTGTGAAATGGTCCTTTCGGGTAAATGACCCATTCATTGGGCGAATGTTGTAGAATCAATTTTTCTCGATTAATTTTCAGTATGTATAATTATGATTTAATATTTTTTTTAGGTCTGCTGTCACACAAAAATGATCACTTCTGATGAAAGCATGGAGGTAGAAATTCTGAAGCAAGATTTGGATGCAAGGAAACAAATTGGTAGAATCGTTTTCAAAATAAAAGATTACCAGGATAAGGTGAAGCAGATCGTTTCAGGGTATTACGGCGATTTTCTTCCCAATTGCTATGATAACATGACTATAATGAAAAATGGCAAAATGCTTGAGGAAGAGATCAATAAAGTAGTTACAATGGTTAATCATGATACCACATGGCAGCTATCTATGGCACAAGAGCACATTCAGCAGCACCGTGAGGAACTGAGTGATGCAATCACAGGATACAAAACATCATATAAATTGCAAACAATTCACAGTTTATTTGAGATGATTCCAAGAAGCGGTGATGATTATCAGAAGTTAATAAGTATCATGGATAAAATAAAACTTCTGCTGAACGATGGAAGTGACCCTATTTTTTCAAAACTCGATTGTTACCAGAGCATTAGGTTGCGATATCATGAGGAATATCAAATGCTTCTGTATAACTTGAATAAGAAGTTTGAATCATTAATACACTTCAACGAAAAACTGTTCCAAAACACAAAAGCTGTCACCATCAAAATCAAGAAAAATGAAGATCAACTGCATCAAGTCATTGTAGCCCTAGTTAATACCAACTATAACGTGCACAGAATGTGCAAATTTCTTATGGATAACGTTTTTGAGCCTATTATAACGCGACCAGTTTCTCTAACGTGCAACGAAGATGACGCAGGTTATGCTTCAATCCAATTATCATATCAATTGAAGTCAAGTGACGATTTGCGGCCCAATCATAAGACCATATTTCAGCGAATGATGGAGACCTTCTATTGCTTGGGACATATGAACATATTGATTTCGGAACGACAGTGCATCTTCTCTATTATTGCACAACATATCAAAGGAACATTGTGCAAACTTTTGATCGAAAACTGCTTGCAAAACGATATTCCTGACACAATCGACGAAATGAACGAATCGAGCATGGTTCGTTCCATTCAGGAATTTAATAAATTTTTGACGGAAATGTTTTTTTTGGATTATCAGCACGACCATGTTTTGGATGAGTATGCCAGTAAAGTTGAATTTCTGTTTCAAAAGAAGTTTTGTACCAACATAGTGTCCACTGCTTTGGATGTAATCAGGAAAGATTTACACGATATGATTCTTGTCGAAGAGCGTGAAACTCATTTCTCCAACGGATCGGATATATTCTCTAGTTGTATGGTTTCGAAAAGTACAATCGAATTGAAAAAATTGTTGGATAAAATTCTTTCAGAAGTTTCCTCTGCGGAAAAGGAACTATCGGAACGTTTGGTGAAAACAATTGCAACCATTCTGGAACGCTACTGTATCGAAGTTGAGAAAAATCATGAAAAGCTATTGTTGAAAATTCCACAGCAAACCGCTCTCTATCATAACAACTGTATGTATCTTTCATTTTGGCTGCAGAAAAATGCTAGTAAACTTGACGGTAATAATTCGTTTATGTTAATTGGAAGTGCACTCCGTGACCAGAGTACGAAGATGTTTAATAACCAGCTGCAAAATCAGCGTGCCTTGCTATTGCAATCTTTAAAAGGATTTGGTAAGACTAATATGTTTGTATGTATTGTTTGTATTATTTTTATTTTATATAGAGATTAGGGGTTATTCCGAGAGTCGAAGTGACTTTTGTCACTAGTAAACAGTGTTGGGAAAATATCAAAAAATCAAATCTGGCCTACGCCCAAGATCACGCTTGATTTTCGAAGACAAAAATCAACAAGCAAACAACTGCGGTTGATTTTCCAAGCTGTGATAACGCAGCTCGGAATATCAAGCTAACAAAACTCACCAGCTGCAAATCTCAACAAACTGTGGTGAGATTGAGTTTCATAATTTTTGATTTACACCAGAATGCAACTGAAACTTCCATAACGGCTGGCAGCAGTCACTTCATGTCTGCCATCGGTGAAGAGTAAAAAGAGAGAGCAAACTATACTTTCTCTTTCTAAGAAAACGATGTGCGTTTTTATTGCCTTAGCATAACATCAAATTGAATACTTGTTTTGTTATCAACAGGAAAAATTGATTTCAGTTTGCTCTCACTGATAGCAGAAATAGTTTTCAATGTGATGTCACAGGAAGATTGCTTTCAATTTGCTATCATTTTGATGCTGGACTTTGCTCATTTAGTAAAGGCAAAATGAAATGATGTTTCCCATCCCGAGCAAAGTCTGAGATCAAATGGAAATCTAAATTTGATGTTGTGATTTCGCTGATAATGATTACTCAGGTTGCTGTCGTTTTGGTCGTTTTAACGGTTAAAATATCAAAATTGAGAGCAAAAAAATGTTCCTGTGACATCACATTGAAAACTATTTCTGCTATCAGTGAGAGCAAACTGAAAACTCTATTTGATATCAATTTTTCCTGTTGATAACAAAACAAGTAATAAATTTGATGTTATGCTAAGGCAATGAAAACAAACCCGCAACAACATATTTTTGTAGAGCAAATGTACAGCAAAATGAAAACGAAATTTATTATTGCATAAACTGAAATCAAATTAGGATTTCAGTTTGATGTTGATATCAAAACTTGATTTCAATTTGCTGTCATTTTGATGCTGGACTTTGCTCGGGTATGCGCCCATAAAGGTAATGATATTTGGTTTACCGGGCATGTACCATACTTTACGCAGTGCTTACTACTTGCGCATTCATATATTTTCGATCGAATCTTGGTTTTGACAAGATATTTTCGAAATAGTTTTTGAAGTGGAAACATTTTAAAAATATTGATTTTAAAATGATTTAGTCTGCAGATTAAATAACCGTGCAAAGTATGGTGCTGTCACGGTAATGGTTACTAATAGTACTGTCGTATATATTCGGTATTATGACATTCAACGTTAAAGAAATGCGTATTATTTATGTTAATTATTGACTAATTTTGTTACTATCTCTGTTTATAAAATGTTCTAAATAAAGCTGGTATTTAATTTTAAATTTCAATTTATATCACTTAGGTTGTGTTCCAATGGATTCCGTATTAATATGAGTTATTATAATAATCTCCTTCAAGATTAGATTTTTTTTTCTTTATGGAATAAACACAATTCCTTCCCTAAACGTGAACAGAACGAGCAGCAATCAAAAAAAGGCAGAATATCATTCGGGGAAGTGGCTATTCGGTGTAATGGCGATTGGGGAAGTGACATTCGGTGTTAAGTTGCAGAAACCACGAATGGTAGGGATAATCGCCGACGCGTTTGATATTCGAGCAAAAGTACATTCAAAACTACCGAGTCTATATATTTCAAAATTTCTTTACATACCGTCCACATTTATATGGGGGAAATTTTTATAATTTTTTTCAACGGATTTGTGCCATTAGGTGAAAAAAACGACTCTTTGAATAAAACAGCAAAAAAAGGTTATCTTCCATTTAATTCCACTTAATTAATGTTGGTATCCATGACAGATACTGATGTGTAATAGCATTTCTTTATATAATTAACCGTCAATTTGAATAGCTTTCGAATGAACTAAATTTGTATTTCTTGCCATATGCACTTTCGAAGTAGAGTATAAGAAAAACTGAATAAATGGATTGAATAGATTAGTCTTGAATTGGAAGTTAACTGATATACTTCTTAGTCCGTACACTAAAAGAAATCGTAAGTTCTATGTTAGTTACCACTAAACATAGCAGATACGTATTTCGACTACAATGTGCAGTCTTCATCAGTGTCATTCCCACTAAAGAACTTATCAAAATCTAACCCCCTTAAGTACTCATCCCCTAGGTATAAAAGTCGAAACGACTCTTTGAAAATTTCAGCTCATTCGGATGTAACACGAGCTGGCACTTTTGATTTAAAATTTATGTGGGAATATTGGTTGAAATGTATGGAGAAATAACATTCCTTCACTCTTTCGTAGAACTGGTTCAGCAAACTCGATTAAGCTCAAAATTTCAGCACACGTAGCTTCAACTATAAGTAACAACTTTGCTGAAGAGAGCATCAAGATTCAAGTTAGTATTAGGGAGATATTAATTAATTATGTTCATTATGCATATATATATGCATCAAAAAACATACAGGCAGCTTATTCAATATATTAACTAGATTACCAATAACATAAAAGCTCATATTTTCCACAGTCCAACATCCAGACTCGGGTCAGTAAATGAGATAACCACTCTCTGAATGTTTCAGCCCTTTTTGACGTTACACGGGCTGGCGTTTTTGGTTTAATGTTCACATATGAGATTTGGTTGATATTTTTATATAGAAAATGCTCATTTACATTCAAAATCGAATATCTCAATAAAACTAACTGGATTCATGATGCAATCTTCAGCAAACTCCTTAACTACAAGTTTTGAAAATCTGAATCAAATCGAGAACAAGGAAACTTTTTTATGATCGATAGAGTGTAGGTGCACAGACAAACATACATGACACATCGCATATTTCTCATTGTAAAACATTACCGCCATCTGTTAAGTACACTGTGGTGGGTAGTACGCTGAACAGATGGCGGTAGTGTGTAAACGTCAAACGCAAGGGAATTTGCTATGCACGCCACAGGTGGTAGTACTACCAACTGAGATACTTTCAAAGTGACCATTAAATGCTTGTTTGATGAGCAACTTATGAGTGTTATGTCTGTTTGTCTGTGGTAGGTGTGTTATTTTTTTTCATGTTTTTTATCCAAATTCCCCATACAAAATTCAAACTAAAAGCGCCAGCTCATCTTAGAACCAAATAAGCTGAAACTTCCAGAGAATGGTTTTCTCACCTAAAGGCACAAATATAGGGGTTGGCCCGTGGAAAATTTGAACTTTTATTTTTGTGGGCCAGTCTAATACCTTAACCTGTGATTTATGCAAAAGCAACATCCAACGGTTAAAACGGATAGAAGCCGCTTCAGCCGGTAGTCACTACGGCGCTTCATAAAAATGGATTTGCAATCAAACCATCCTCCAGTTTGATTCATAACCCTTAAGGTAAATATTGATAAAGAGGTCGTACAAATGGTTTTAGCCTTGTAGCATATGCTATAACTCCCTCGATAACTCTGTAGTGCGATCATAGCATAATGCTAGTTCAGACTGAAGAGTTATAACCGAGGTGTTATAAGGCTATATTGATGACATTTTTCTTGTCGATAATTATTATAACATGTTATAACCATAGGGGTAACTCTAAGACTAGAAGGTCCCGAAATAACGTGCTCAACTTTTTGGCTCAGCTCTGGTACTCTCTTCGGTCCCAAGTTAATCGATTCACCCCTCGAAACATAAGAAAACCCAATAACCCCTCATTTTATTTGTCAAACTTTCATAGCGAATCAAAACAAACAATGCGTAGTACTAGAATTTCGACTAGAATGGGGTACGTTAATCGTTTGCTTGGGACCAATAGGCTAGTCAAGTAGTGAGCCAATTTAAAATCGTTAGTTTCGTATTGATTGTTGTTATAACTGTGTAGTTTGATCAAGCAACATTGAATTGGTAGTGTTGGTGGCTTTGATTTGTACATGTAAAATCTTGTAATTTGGAAAATGTTCCACATATTATTTTCTTGGTTCACTTTTAAACCCTGAGTAGGAAAGTTATGCCATGCTGTTAGTAGTTGTGCAATCAAAGCTGAAAGCATCCAGTAGTCAAGGGCCTGACACGCCGCCTTCTTTCCGTAGCCAGCATAAAAACGTGATCACATATCAATCTAAGCAGGCCCGCGTCTATGCTCGCTACGGCTACTTGTTATAATCCTTGCCAGTAATCCATTTGGAACACAGCCTTAGTTACCACCATATGGTTCCGCATAATTGAAATGCATATGTGTTTGATTAACTAATTCTACATTTCATTACATTATAGAACTTAAAAATGGCATCGTCGAGCTTGGTCCTGAGCCGCAGAAATCAGTGAGGCAGTGTATTCGGCAATTAGATTTATTGAAAAGCGTGTGGCAAACGGTTTTACCTGAAAATACTTATAAAAGCAGCATCGGTGGATTGATAACGATTTTCAGTGCCGAGATTATTAAGAGAATATTCAACCTGGAGGACATCACCGCAGAAATCGGAAGTGGCCTCGTTAGTGTGATCGATGTCGCCAAAGAGAAAGCACCGTTGCTTTTCAAAGTAATAATTGGGTTCAGTCTTAAAATAATCATATATCAAGCACAACATACAAGCTTTTTGTAAACAAACCTTCTTATGCCCTTTTTTCGCCACCCATATGACACCAACGCAAATCTCTAATATCACCGGGTTGAAGAAACTTTCCCCTTCCCGATGAAATTGCTGGTTTGCGTGGGCGACCCTCGGTTGTTTGTTTACAAAAAGCTTGTATGCCCTTTTCACATGTGGCTCTTGATATAGAGCCTTCAATTTGAGAAAAAAATCGTGTGCATTAAGGAAAATTTTCATTTAATAGCAAAACGTAAACTACGAAACAAAATCCATGAAGATGATGAAGTTCATGTTTATTTCTCATTGTATTATGTTACGAGTGTACCAGAAAAAAAAGCCTGGTACATACTTACCTGCCCAGTTAGACATGCTCGGCCATAAGCGCGCATGAAGTGTTTATGGACGAGCATAAAAATTTACTAGCTTGTGGCCAAGTGGCGTTATGTTATAAAATCAAAATGTTGTGTAAAGTGGGGCAAGATGGGTCATCTACTTGTTTTTTTTTTATGCCAACAGGCTTAATGTAGCCAACCTTTATTGGGGTTGCTTGCATTGAATGATAATGAATAACAATTAAATTTTTAAATGTACTAAGTAACCCACCTTACCCTAAGCATGCAGATGACATTTTAATATAATTCATCTAATTCTACTGTGTTACCTGACTCATAACAAAAATTCGTTTAATCCGCGGGAACATCTAGGGTTAACTACCCCATTAAGCACAACCCGCACTTAGTCCTTCTTTATCTAGCGTAGTTTAGCACCAAACGGAATGTTATTATTACTGATGGCTTCCAAATTTATTTACCTTTCCGTATGTACCGTAAGATTTGGTAAAGAGAAACCAATCGTTGAGATATTGTCAAAAGTCTAACACTGCTTCTTGACGCCAAACTCGGCCTACGGATTCTAAACTCGGCCTAGCGCATTGAAACGCCAATGCATTCACTTCGGCCTAGCACATTGAAACGCCAATGCATTGACTTCGGCCTATCGGATGAAGATAAAAATAAACCTTCATATCACGTGTTCTCATTGACTTCGTTCGGTAACTTATTAACTAAAGTATCGTGCCAAACGCATAATTGACTTGTTAACTCTGAAATAATGGATTTATTTGAAGTTTTCTGCTCGATAGGCCCAAAACGGGTGATTAGGCCGAAGTAGTTCTCTACCCTATTTCATCTAATTTATTTATTTATTTATCGTTATTTATTTAGCGTTCTAGGTCAGACTGAGCAGTTATACCATGTCAAAAGCCCATCTTGATGACATTTTTCTTGTTCGTTAATTACTATAACATGTTATGAATCTGTAGTGTGAACGTGGTATATGGTTTCATAATACAGCTTGTTAGGTGTATGAGGCGAAGGTTTTTGGGTTCGTTTGTCGGTTTTCCTGGTATCGGGATTGGAATTACGTATGATTCCCGCCAGTTTTATGGAAAGCTGTTGGATGTCCATTTGTGGTTGTAAGCTTGAAGTAGTTTCTTTTTAATGTAGAACGGTAGACGTTTAATCATTTCGTTATGAATTTCGTCTGGGCCGGCGATGAACCTTTAAGCGTGTCCAATTGATATAGTAACTCGGCAATAGTGAATATCTTGTTGTATGATGCATTTCTTTGACTAGGGTATATTACTGGTTTCTGTTCCTTTCGTCTTTTTTTCGTGGGCCGTCTATGATTCATCAGCTGATTCTTTGGCGAAGTGGATTGCTATAAATTCTGCTATTTCTTGGGGATCTGTTGTGCTTCTGTTTTCTGATGTTATGGCCCATATTGGGTCGGTTGATTTTTTCCGGATATACTTCTGATCCTTCTCCATACTTCTTTGGGAGTTGTGTTTTCGTTAATTCCGGAGACGTATTCTTGCCATGACTTTTGTTTTTCTTCCTCTATGATTTTCTTGCTTCATTTCTCGTTTTTCGGAATTCTTCCTCGACAAGTTTGAAGTTAGAGTTATCTATTGACGTATTTTTTTAGTTTTCTAAGCGTTTTTCGTCTATTTCGGACAGCGGTGTTTGTAAGTTCATTCCACCAGGAAACTGACTTAGGATTGGTATAGTTGGAGGTTCTTTGAATGGCTGCGGTGGCAGCTTTTTTTTTAATTGAATCAGTAATTTCTTCAATAGTGTATTCCTGGTCTGTTAGAATTAGTTTTTCGATTTCTTCTTCGTATTTGTTCCAATCTGCCTCATCAATTTTCCATTTGGGTAATTGTCTTTTTTTCGGGTGTTGGCTATTTTAAAAGGGTCCCTGTTGTGGATCGTTTATTAGGTATTTGTCAGTCTAATTTTGCAGCAAGCTCAGGGCTGCATATTGTGGCATCTATTGTTTACTTACTGCATTGATCGTTTCTTGTTGCTGAGTGGATGAAAGTGATATTTCCGTCGTTAATGGTGGCCCGTGCTTTTCTATCAGTTTTGGCTATTTTCTTTCCTTTCGAATTTCGTTTCTGTGAGTCCCATTTGTGATGATGGGTGTTAAGGTATCCAGTTATTATTAGTGGTTTTGTTAATGAAGCGATCACTTTGTCGAATTCATCTGCGTCTATGGGTGTGTTTGCAGAGAGATATACTAATGCAATTGTTATTTTGTACGGTGTTTTTACATTTATTGCAATAATTTCCATGCGAGTGTTTTCCCCCCTCTTCAATCCCTTCCTTTTCCCATGGCGTTCAAGTGGTCCGCATAGACTATTCAGCCATGACCCTTCCTTTATCCTCGGCTTTGGATTGACTTGCGCTCGCATTGCCCCACCAAACGCTGTAAAATGAAAATAATTTCCATGCGAGTGTTTAAATTGTTCTCGGTGACATTGACTCCATTTTTGATCATTATGGCTACGTCGTCTTGTCCTGAGGGCGGTGTGTGAATAAAATGTTATATCCTTTGATTTTCATGATTGTTCCGGGTTTCGTTTTTGTTTCTTGTTGTGCGATTATTGTGGGGTCGTGTAGGATGTGACTTTGATCAGTAGTTGAAGTTCGGGGTATTTGCTCCGGATACCGTTACAGTTCCATTGAATTATCGTAGTTATTGGGCTATTTGTTTGTGGGTTTCAATGTGTCATCAGATTCAGAATCTTATAGCGAATTCGTTTATTATCGGGGTTGGAACCAGTTCCAATCCAGTGCGAAACCGAACTTTTTGTCAGTGCGAACCTCAACCTGAGCTAGGTTTTAAAAACAAACGAGCAAACTGACGTTTGTCAGAAAACAAGCAGACCCAATCCTGATACCCGATCCAGGTTGGAACTGAATAATAAACGAATTCGCTATTAGATGTTGTGTTTCGTTTTTATTTTTTTCATTTTTTCCGTTTTTTTTTTTGCGTTTAGGGGTACCGTCAAGTTCCCGTTCTGGGGTTGAGTCGTGTTTTTTTCCATGTTAGGTTTTTTCATGTGTGATCAATGTTATTTTTTGTTCTTATTTTTCCAATTGTTGCTTGAGTGTCAAAATCAGCTCATCTTTCTTTTGCGTTTCGTTTGTTCAAATAATTGCAGTGTGCTTCAATGGCCGTAAAATCTTTTTTTTTTTTCCATAAATGCTTTCATTTTATTTTCTTTGTTCTTGACGTAACTTATCCATTTTTTGACATCATTTTCTTTCTGGAGAGTTCCTTCATTTTTTTCAATGCGTTTATTTATAAAGCCCCCTCGCCTATTAGGCATTGCTTGGGCCGAAGACCATTATTTACAATTAAATCCCTTCACGCTTTTATGTTTCAAATAAAAAGGAAAATCCCCTATTTGATAAGTTGCATTGTTTTCATCTAAACGACCAGTCTTCGGGGTGCACTGATCAGCACGAACTTTCTTTTTGCTTCGACAGCCGGCGTTTGTTGGTATTTTCAATGAAATCCTTTGTTGCGTTTGAAGAGCTGGTGCTAGAGTTTTCGTCGTTGCCTTCAACGTTTGAAGTGTGATGATCCTCGGTTTGATTGTCGGTGTTTCGCTGTTGTTCTTCTGCTGAGAACCCGGTGAAAGCAGGAGATGATTGACCCGATGTCGTCGGCTGGTTTTTTTTTCGATATTCATAGACGGGAAATCAGCGAGACTGAATCCCCCCTCCATCGGTTGGCGGCACGGTTTTGGTTGCTTGTCGTACGCTACCAACGTTGTTTCGTTGTCGACCGTGATGGAATGACGTTTTCGAGTTGCATTCGCAAAACTCAAACACCGCTCAGGAGTCCTGGGAAGTAGTGGCTCCATTTCTCATGTCGACTGTCCCGTACTTTGCCATGTGGTTCATAACAGTGGCTTGTGGCCATGCCAGAGGAAGGCCATGCACTCAAACGGTCACTGCTTTACAATCCACATATACCGGGATTTTGAACTCACTCTTTGCACAGAGAATCGCGTGTTTATAGTTGTGCGCCTTTTCATAGCGCAAGGCAACTTTATTGTCTATCATCTTAATAAAAACACAATTTCGGACGTTATGAAACTGAATACATCCAACGTTCAAATATTGATGTTTAATATTGTTCTCGAAGAATTTTTGCACTTTTCCCGCATTTGGGACGAACTGGAAGGACACTGAAGTCAACAACAAGTGTGTTTTTACGAACTACACAATATTTCACTAAGTTAAGCAGAGCAGAAAGAGCACACGTCCGATGAATACGATTAATGGCTGTCGAATGTGTTCCTCCATTTTCTCAGTTATAAATTTAATTTTTTCTTCCATTTCTCATTCCCATTTAAAACGTGCCTCCATAATGAGTCGTTTGGCATCGCTGGTTTTACGTCCTCTTTTATTTTTATTATCTGAAACTCATATTGTAGAAACTGAAGCTTTTGATCAGTATAGTATTTCGGGATATATTGTTGCTGCTTGTTTATCACATTCTAGACACACTGGCGGTGTTGCTATTTATGTCAAAGAATCAGTTCAATTCAACCTTTGTACCAACGAAGTTATTGATGGCATTACAGTTGTACG